GCTGTCTTTCTCTTGTGGTTCCCTACCCTTCCTAAAAGCACCTCAATGTCACCATCCTTGAGCCTGAATGCCCTAATTTGAGTATGATCCAGCTAACACAAACAGGTATCTGTATATGTGTGAGGAGAAAACTGAAATGAGATTTCCCCACCTGACTGCCCATCATCTCTGGGCAAGGCATCTTCAGTTCTCTCAGGACTGCTCAGGGCTGCACGTCTCATTCTCCCCTATCTCCAGGAAGTGGGAAGTGACAATTCACATTCCCACCCTTGCTCCCCTCTCACTCCAGCCCCGTCATCGCTTCCTGCACACTTGGCTGTGGCTGAGCTCACACTGCCTCCGAAGGCACTGGCCCTGTGTTTAGCCCTGCAGAGGAGGTGGGACCCAGGCAGATCCATGGTGCTTGCAGAGCCCACGGCCAGCACAGCTGGGGCTGCTCCAGCCCAGAGAAAGCACCTAATGCCTGAGCACACACTTCCCTCTTATGGCCATGCCCGATACAGCAACCATGCAGGCTGGCAGCATCTTCACTGGAAGATGGGATTTTCCTATGAATATTTATGAATTTCCTATTTATTTATACCTATTAAATATTTCCCAGTTTCCTCTTATATTTGTTGGACACACATGTCTCCCCTGCAGTCGAGGCTCAAGCACAGAGTGAGCTTTGCAGCCCTGTCTGACTGCTGCTGAGCATCACACACTGTGAGCAGTGTGAGTGGGAAAGACATGAGTGCTCAGTCCTGCCTGCAGCATCACACTGTTTCTCTGATGGAAGGCCAAGTATTAATCCCTGGTCCTAGGGCAGACTTCCCCTCTTGGTAGTGTACAGCCTCTAACATTTTTCATCTCCTCAAGTTAAGTATGGCTTTTACTTCCTTTGACTTTGAAGAGAAAGTTTTTAACTCCCTAGTTATGGGTAGTTAAGGACTCTATTAAATTTCTCCCTTGCCCCATTTCACTGTATGGTAAAGTCTCTCTATCCTATCTATAATAATATGTTTGCCAAAAGGAGAGACAGCAGCCCTCTGTTTTCCTGTATTGACCTTTTTCTCTGAACTGAACTTCAGGCTCTTTCTGTGCTCCTATCACCCTTAATATCAGATTTTATAATTCAAAAGCAGTTTGCTGCACAGATGGGGTAGTTTCCCCTTATGTCTAATCTATGGTCACCTTCCTCTATAAGGGTTCCTCCACAAGCCTGAAGAAAATTTTCCATGGGATAATTTTCTGTTGGATGAGTTGAACTGACTCTCTCTACAAGCAGAAAGTTGAGCACTACAAAAAGGGAAAAAAAATTTACTTTAGCCATGTCTTTTGCCAACTTCTCCATCTTCTTCCTTCACTCATTTTTTTCCTAAAGAGAGGTAGGAAAATAAGAACCTGCAAAACTATGCTTATTACTGGAAAGATGGCAAATTGCACCTTCCTTCCTCTCCAAGCCAAGGTTTGGTCACTGCTCAGGTACTAGAGCACTATTCTCACTGTCTCTCTTCTCTACAGTATGCTGTCTTCTCATATGCCACCTTTGTAATAGCATCAGTACAGGATGAAATGAAAACTATCAACAAAGACATTTTCAAAGGAGCTCCATTTTTAGTTCTGTTGTTCTCATGGGAAGAGATGAATAAGGAAGAACCTGTCCAGCCTCCTGCAGTACTAACAGCACTGTCAGAAGCAGCAACAGCAGTTTTATTGCCCTTGAAGTCAGCCATAGCAGCTTGATCATGCTCTGGGCCCTTTACCAGAGTTTCTCAGAGACCTCCACAGCCACTGATAAAGTGGGACCACATCTGCTCTGAACCTGTTTTCAGGGTTCTGATGGAAAAACGGTAACTTCCATATTCCCAATAGGTACATGCAGATCCTCAAAAGTATTCAAGCACCTAGAAAGTAGTTAGAAATTAAAATACTACAAGCCTTGAGATCCTAATGAGGATGTAGTTATATTGGTATTCAGTGTTTTTGCTGATAGAGCTGATGCTGCTCGGTAAAGTTCTGCTCAAAAAAGACCTCATTCTGCTGACATAAGCTGCCTGCACACAAGGAGGGCTTCACTGCTACAACTCTGCTGCTACAGCGATATCACACGCATTTACATGTAAATTAGGGCTTTGTTTATACCGCACAGATGCAGCCTTTCACTTCATCCTGGATTGGGAGGGGGGGGCGGGGAGAGTAATGGGCTCACTCTCATTTTATGCACTAAGAAAGCAAAGCACAAACAAAATGAACTCACTAGTTCAGTATCATCCAACATGGGCGTCAAAAAAGGCAGAAATCCTGATAATAGTTTACAACCGTGGGACTGTTTTACTGTAGAGAGGGGGAGACAAATGAGTCATCACTCTCATAGGAGCCTCATCCTTATGTGAGGTCAAATTCCCGATGTGTTTGAGTTTGAGATGAAGGCGCTAGGAATGAATGCACCAGGGAGCTGTGAAACAGGCATGGAGGCCTGTTTAGATGCACTGTCAGAAACTAACCTGAAAACCTAAAGCTTTTAGTACACTGCTCCTCCACTCACCAACCTGAGTTGCTCTTTTGCCATCTCCAAAGTTCACAACTCACCTCTCTGATCCATGCCCTCTGTTCAGGGCTTCCTGGTGCATTCATTCCTAACGCCTCCACCTCAAACTCAAACACAAACACATCGGGAATTTGACCTCACATAATGATGAAACTCCTATGAGCCAAGTGATGACTCACTTGTCTCCCCCTCTCTACAGCAAAAACCAGTCCCATGACTGTAAACCATGACCAGGATCTCTGCCTTTTTTGACATCCATGTTGGGTGATACTGGTATTGTTCAGTTGGTGGAGTAAGACAGTTTGCTCTGTCAGTTCACTGGAATAGTACCCTGGAGACTTAAAATGTAATTTAAAACTGGAATTTGCTCTTCAAATTTTGTTTGGTTTCCCTACTTTGCAACTGCCTAGTTCAGAGGCACAAGCTGCAGCCACCTGTGTACACAGGTCTTGTGCAGTGCACAGAGCCATATCAGAGTTGCCTGCAGGTGTGATTCCAGGAGCTCCGTGGGTGTGTTTGGTGCTGCCTGTGGCAATAGCTGTGCCCTGAGATGGCATCCCCATGCTTCGACTTGTCTCCATGGATATCCTGGACTCTTCTGTCACGGCAGTCCCCATGTGAGAATGGCCTTCCGTATCCCCTGCACTGTGCTACAAGGGACCAGAAGCCTCTCAAACCCCAGGCTATGCTGGCCCCATGCTCAGGGCAGGGTGAGGTCCCTCTGTGCAGGAGAGTACTGCAGCTGCTGTGTGAGACTGTCTTTCACAGAAGCTAATTCGCTTGTTAGGTACTGCATGTTCATGCCAAATTTGCAGTAAGATCCATGACAAAGGCTCCAAGATGTGACTATAATACATAAAAATAACTATCAACAGTAGCAAATCAGAGAGAAAAGGATGAGACCATTCTCTCAAATTCATATGCTTGAACTTGATAAGCCTTCATTTTGTTTTTCCCCTGTTGCTAAGTGCAAAGAAAAACCTCAGCCCTTCCCTCTAAATTACACTAGAGAAATCAAAGGTCACACTCTTCTATCTTTTCAGTGTGTGATTAAACATGTCTGGCTGTTTCATTTCTGCCAATTAACACTCCTGCAGCTCGGGAACTGCTCCCTGCTCCTTCACCTGGATTCATACAGGTGTTTAATAGCACACAAATACAGACACTTTGTGGTTTCCTTCTCGCCTTGAGTGCGTGATGCCCGATCACTCTCAAACTGTACTGCGGTTGGTAACACCCACCCCGAACTAAATACAGCATTTAGTTCACCTGGTCTTTGAACGAAGTACATCTTTCCAAACCCGTCAGAAGACACGTTTGCACGTAAACCTAGTACGGGTTTTTAAACACAGCCGTGGGCAGAGCGAACAGCCGGGCAGCTCCAGCTGTCGAGGGCGGTACAGCTCAGCAGCGCCTCAGCCCAAGTGTAAATCCTGCTGGAATTAAGCTCTGCCCTAGGCTGCTCTGCAGGGCTCCCTGCAAGGGCCTTCAATGTCCTGGTCGACTCCGGGCAAGACACATCTCTTCTGAGCTGCTGGCAAGGGCATTAAGTAACCACGTCTGATCTCCTAAACGTCTTCCGGAGCTCTCACCCGGGGCTCTCCGTCGAATGATTTCTTTAGGACACAGCCCCTTGGACAGCCCTTCAGGTCTCGGAGGAACCACTTCGTTCATCAACTCCCTCAACGCGAAACAGCGAGGGGCTGCCCGCTGCCTTACCCCACCCCGGCCCTGTCCCCGCTCCAGCCACCAGCGTGCCCGAGGCAGGGCTGCCAGTATCCCGGCGGGGATGGTGACAGCAGCAGCACCGACCTGCGCCGCGCCGCCCCCTCCCCACCGCGTGCGGGGACGTGCGCACAAGCGCGCGGGTCTCTCCCGGAGAGCAACGAGGAGGGCGGGGCAGCTCCCCGCAGCCCTGTCCCCGGCCCCGCCCCGGCAGCCCCGCTACCACCAACACCATGCTCCCTTCCCTTCCCTTCCCTTCCCTTCCCTTCCCTTCCCTTCCCTTCCCTTCCTACGCCCGCCCATTGGCTGCCGCCTCAGCCCCGCTTCACTCCTCCCTCCACCATTGGACGAACGCTGCTTCTCTCTCGCGCGCCCCTGCCTCGGCCTCGCGCTGTGATTGGCTAGCTATTCTCCTCCCCTTCACTCCCTTTCCCATCTCTACCAAGTGATTGGGCACTGCTCATTCCTGGCTCCGCCTCCCCACGGGCGTTCCGCTTTACGATTGGGCGAGCCCCTCCCTTCGCTTTGCTCTCCTCCCTCCCGGGTGCCGCGCGGGCTCTCATTGGGTCCCGGCGGCCCGCTTCGCACGCGCGCCGGCGCGTCTAGGCGGGGCCTGTCCCCGCGCGTGACGCCCGCGCCGGCCATTGGGGGAGCGCGGGTCGCGCTTCCGGTGCGGCGCGGCGCGGCCCGGCCGGGCGGGGGCGGCGGAGCGGGCGCGGCGGGGCCGGCGCCATGGAGCGGCCCGAGCGGCCCCGCGCCAACGGCTGCGGCGGTGGTGGCACCCACGGCGCGCTCCGCAACGGCTTCGTGCGCGGCCCGCCCGGCACCCAGGTGTGCGCGGAGGAGGGGGGCGCCGGGGCGGGCGGGGAGCGCGGCGGCGGGGCCCCGGGAGGTACCGAGGTGTGGCTGTGAGGGATGTCGGCAGAACCCAGGTGGTTTGGTTTGTATCGTCAGCCCTCGCCTGAGGAGCAAGGGCAGTGCCCGGGAGCTGCTCATTCACCGCACTAGTGGCGGCGTGGGAAATGACTGTCCCTGGACTCCCGGCTGTAACTTTACTGCAAGGCTTTTACTGGTGGCAGAGCTTTGAACTTAAACCTCGCTATAGCACAGTAGGTCCGTGGTTTAGAAGAAAAGGTTTTAGCAATTCTCCACCGCTGTTTGGTTGTTCCAGGTGCGACGCGTGGGGCTGTGGGTACGAGTAGCCCTGAGCAGGGACTTTCCTCTCGAGCAGAGTTGGAGGGTGGTGCAGCACTCACTGCCCGTCTGGCTCTATTAACGCCCTCTGATGAAAGTGTGTGTTCGTGCTTGCAGACTTCGGTTGTTTCTTGGCAAAACACTCAACTTTGGTGTTATAATGTAAGGAACTTAAAGGTTGTCATGAAGTCAGCCTCACCAGAAGGCAGTAGGTTATGTTTCCTTGAACACCTCAAGTTCAACATCATCTCTCCTGCTGCTTCTGTTTTTCAGTCCTCTGCTATCTCTTCTATTTTTTCAGTGAAGGCTTGTGCACTCACTGTGTGAACTGGATTGGGAACTGATGTAGGGTAAAACGAAACTTTTTTTCTCTGAGTTTTTTTAAACTGATTTTTGAGGATACTTGCTGTATTTCTCTGACTGCTTTGATGCTCATAGTCTTGCCCAGGCCCTTGGGAGATAGAGCGCAGTACTGGAAGTGAACAGATGGAGGGAGGTACAGTACCTTCATGTGGCAGCAGTGTCTGCTTGTACTGGCTCGGGGAGCCATGGCTTTGGTAGACTAGCCTTGTGCAAACACTAAGCTCTGCTGACTGTAAAACCTGACTTGTAAATCTTTGTAATAAGACAAAGCGTGATGATGGTGAGTTCTTCTGTGAGTGTTTTTCCCCACCTGTGCTTTCTAAAGAAGAAGGCCTCAATACAGTTATATTCTTCTACTTCAGAAGAATAGAAAATGGGGTAGGGAAGCATTTTCCATTTTCCTCAAGGACTTTCCTTGTTCACCTCTGTATCTGGAAAACGTGGGTGATGCAGCTTGTGAATGGGAAGAATCATAGATGTCAAACTGAGGAAGCTTAAAAACCTTGCTGGTTTATGAGATATTCTGTTCCCTTAGTAGCTTGTACGTGATACTATGTTCAGATATGTTTTGGAGACCTGAGGCATTTGAGATAACTATTTCTAAAGTGGGTCAGGGTTCACTGGAGAAGTGGTCATGAGAAATCTTACAAAAAACCCAAAGTGTAGTGGCACTGTAGTAGAGGATATAAGAAGAGTGCAGGAAAGTTTGATACCTTTCTGGCAGCTGCTTGATGGTCAAATAGACATTTATAATTAGGAGTATTACATTATTTTCTCTATAATTCTATGTGGGCCAACTTTCAGAGTGAGGGTCTGAATGTTAGAAGTGGACTGGAAGAAGCAGCTGTTTAGGAGAACTAATTATTTACAGCTTTCTCAGATAGCATCAGTGATGGTAAGCTGCCAAAAGATGTGTTTGCTGATATATCACAGATCTGGCTACTTGACTGGTCTTTTGCCTTTTCAATTTTGTTTTTTGGGCCTTTCTACAGAAGAAGGGAAACATGTGAGTGCTCACTTTGTGTTGAGTATATTTGTCTGTGTACATACACACTATGTACATGTCACATACACATACACATTTCAGCACTTGAGAATCTGTGACTAAGCAAGTACTAAAAAAGAGGCAGCTTACACAAAATAATGCAATTGTTACTTAGTAGGAAGAAAAAGCAAACAGAAAAGTAAGGATGTGGAGAAGAACTTTTTTGAGAAAGCCTTTCCTGGTTTTTCTGTGGGAAATAAGAGGCAAAATGAGATCTAGCTAAAATGATGGGAAGAGGAAGGGTAAGGAAAACCATCCCTTTAAAGAAATGTTGCAGTCATTGACAATTTATCTGGAAAACCATGGAGCTTCTGAGCTGAGACCTTAGAGTCGGGGCAGTGCTTTACCATGCCTTCCAGTAGGGCTTGATAGTGCAGGAAAGCTTTAGCCATTTTTAACTATGTGAAAAAAAAAGAAGTCCTCTTCTACCTAGGACGTTTCTGCTCAGGTTATCTATGTACTTTTTGAGGGTTTTTAATTCTTGATTTATGTTGTTTTGGAGATTTTTATCCTAAAAAAAAATAAAGCTTAAATTCAAAGGTTTCTATATGATACTTCCTCCACTAAGGGTGATATTTGACATAGAGTGGGTTCTCTACTGTTACTCCAGCATGAACAGAAGAGGGTGAAATTGTTTGCTTAATTTTCAAAGCAGTTCTTTCTGAACTGCTAAAGCTTTATGGTAAGAGGAAGGGAAACTTGCTGCCTACAAAAACTGTGCAGTAACAGACTTTGGCTACCTTGGAGATTAATGAAACATCATCGGTGACAAGGAAAGTGACCATTTGAAGTTAGAGTTCCAGCGTAGTAAAAACATTCTCCTGAAATACTTAGATAAGTAAGAGCTCTTTGCTTTCCTGAGATGTCTTGTATTCAAATTACTTGGCTCCTGCTTGAAGTTAATCTGTTTAGAGATTGTTGCATTAACTGAATTTCAATCTCATTATGAACACCTTAATTAAAAGAGGTTGAAGAACCATATAGAAATTAAAAATTGTGGAATGTTGGAGAAAACTGACTTTTTTCTGACTGTGTACAGTTAAGGGAGTTCATGGTTAGAAAGAATAGCAATTTGTGGATGAACTTAATATTGATTTAGAACTCTGGTATAATACTGCACTATGTAAGATAAAAGCCTGACGTCTCAAAGGGTATTGTCATGATGTGAGGAATTGAACATAGATAGGAGAAAGAGAGCAAATCTTACTGAAAGAGATGTGAAGTTACCTCTTGAAGTTGTGCATGATTGTGCTTTTTATGCCCTTCTGGTCTTTTGGGGAGAACTCTTTATATTGAGTTCAATATAAAAGTTATGTTTAGGAGCTGTCAAGACACTTGTGGGAATAATAAGTGGGGGGAAATTGTTTTTTCTTTCTGCAATGCAATTTAAAACTGAAGTGTATTTTTCCTTTGGAATGTTTTGCAAATGACTAATGGTTTTCCAATCCTGCATCTTAAAAGATTTTTCTTGCTTAGAATAGGGAGACTGGGACATCTTTAATGGGAGAAGATGTCCTTATTTTCCTAGATAATTTATTTGAATCCACCTATTATTGTGAACAAATTCTTAGTAATATTTTTTTTTTTTTACTCCTTAATTGAACTTTTCTCGTTAGAATGGTTCTGTTGTGTTTCTAGAAGTTAAAGAAGTACTCTCAACCTAAAAAAATAAAATTGGAATATAGGTTTTAGATATCAAGTTCTTAATTTCTGTTGTGTGCAGTATCTCCAAGTCAGTTAGATAGGAGCTGAAATGATATTAAAAATTTTTAATTTCCCTGATGTTTCTAGAAGGTTTTCAAATGCCATCCTATAGCAACTTCCAGATAACACGCATGCCTTTGTAAACAAGGTCTTGTTCTGCTTCCTCAGGAAGACAAGAAATAGTTTGGTTAAGAAAAGTGGGAGGACTGTGGGATTTGCATTCCTTTAAGACTGTCACAAGTCCTGAATTCTAACAGCTATTAAAATGCCCAGCATAGATATTTCTTTTCTGGAAGCTTTGGTGTGGACAGAAAACAGTTTGTGTAGTCTTGTGATTTGTGCTTGTTCTTCTTAAACAGAGCAAACTGCTTATAGGTTCATCTCGTGGGATGCTTCAGGATGCAGGGAAACAATGACTTCATCCTGATTTTTAAGATGGTTTTGCTGGAATTCAAGTTAGTGTAGTTTCTTTCGGAAAGCACACTTAAGACGACTGCAGCAGATAGCGCAAGTTCTTGCTACGAGTGATTTAGTGGTAGCAGTGACGTGAATCTTGTTTCAGATGAAAGTTAGTATAAGTGTATTAAGTAACTACCCTATCCACTGGTATAAAAAGGAATTGGAGTACAGACTTGTGAGGTTTTTTCATATCTGTGTGCAAATTTTAAAGTATTTCTGATGGAAAAAAATTATCTTGAGAATCTAAATCTCATTAACTTCTTCATGAAGCAGTGGTTGTTCCCCCTCATTCAACATTTGGGAGACTGCATCTTGCAAATGGTGTCCAGTTTTGAGCTTCTCAGAAAGATGTTGGTATAACCACATCAATCTGTATATCCAGTGCAGGTCCCCAAGAAATGAGGAGGCTGCAAGAGATGGGTTTGCACAACCTTAGGAAGAGAGAAGGCTTAACTAGCTGTCTGCAGGATATAGAAAAAATGGGGCCAGACTCTTGGAAACATGTGGCAATAGTATGAGAGGCAACACATGTAGTTTGGAGGAATGGGAGGTTTTGATTGCACAGAAGGAAAATAATTTTTCCCACGAGGGTGGTAAAATACTGGAAGAAGTTGCCCAAAGGGATTGTGAAATCTCCATCCATAGAGGAATTCAAGACTGTTGGATGTGGCCCTTGGCAACCTGTTGTAATTAGCCCTGCTTTGAGTTGGGGCTTGGACACAATGGCCACTGGAGGTGTCTTCCAACCTTGGTTATTCCATGGTTACAGGGGTGACCTCGTGGACTGCAGGAGAGTTTGTCCAGGCTTAGACATTAGCATTTAATCCCCAAACCCCTGTAAAAATGGGCACCTGAGGGCTTATAGCAGGTACTCTGAGGCTTACATCAGACCTGAGCAAAGAAATCACTAGTTTCTGACTCTTGATTGGTTTTATGATTGACTGTATTTATTATGTCAGTAACATAAAACTGAAGTGAGAAGAAAGTTGTCTGATCTAAAAAAGACTGCAACCTTGTTCAGGTATTTTAATTGACAGAACTCTTTTATTTTTGAAAAAATGTGCCC